TGCTCATAAATGCAAATATCTAATCAGCTAATCACATGGCAGAACCTCAAAAAGGAATGTAAACATGATCAAGGAAACCTCCTGAAATTCAAACCGTGCATGAGAATAGAGGAGAAAGGTTGATTTAAGAGACTTGGAATGTTCCTGGTGTCATATTAGCTGATGTGAGATTTTCAAAAACAAGCTGATCTACAGGGATTTTCCAACACAGCCATCTTATGGGTTTACAGAGAATGGCAATAATCTAAGAGAAACTGGCTTGTGAGGAGAATGCAAAGACTGTTTTAAGCTGATTAGAAGACAATAGTTACAACTTAGATAACCAGTAATTAAAACTCAAGTATGAAGAAGACCGTCTCAGAATTAAGACCATGTCAAACCTTGAAGGAGAAGCGTTACAGCAGCAGAAGACCCCACTACGTGCCACTCCTATCAGATAAGAACAGGAAACTGATGCTACTATTTGCACAGGCTCACAAAATTGGACAACAGAAGATTAGTAAAACATTGATGGTCTGATGAGAGTCTTAAGCTCTGATGTGACATTCAGAAGGTAGGGTCAGAATTTAGTGTAAACAACATGAAAGGATGGCTCCACCCTGCTTTACGTCAACAATTCAGCCTGATGGTGGTTTAATGGTGTGGAGGATATTTTCTCTGCACACTTTTGGCACCTTAATACCAACTGAGCATTGCCAGAGCCTACCTAAGCATTGTTTCGTGAACAAATGCAAAATCTGGGTTTAAAAAATTACTTTGGCAAGGTGTTTGGCGATTCCTCTCCCTCTGTAAGCATCTGGAACTTCGGTGTGCTGCAGGTCCACCGTCTTTTTCCCAACATACTCGTACAGAAGAACCGCACGATCATGGGATCCTAAGAGCAAACACAAATATTATCTCTGGCAGAGGTTGGTCTTCACCTCAACTATTGCTAGATTTACTAATTATCGGAAAAAATATGACCCCCCCCCCCCCAAAAAAAAACAAACAAACAAACAAACAAACCAAAAAACAAACAAAGAACAGAAACCACAGAAGCCTGCCACCCTGCTTGTGCACACTACAAGTTTCATCCCACAATTACTTCAACGTTTCAGCATTTTAAAGCTGACTCTAAGCGCCCCAGTTACATTATTAAGGTGTGGTAGCAGATTTTAATTTGCATGTAGCGCTGCAACATGGCTGCTGAGAAAGACGAGGCACGAGAGGCCAGGTGCAGGCATGCCCTTGTGGAGGAAGGGTCGCGTTGCTGGGTGAAGAAAAGATAAAGATCTCCATTCAGCACAACAATGGCATCCACCATTTTCCTCTTAACAGCTGACCCACAACTGACCAGGACAAACACGACTACTGACACACTTAAAACAGTAATATTAGTGTGTCGTAAAGGATTAATATCTACTAAAACGAAGAAGACTGTGTAAAACTTTAAAATATGTTTAAAGCACTTGAACTGAACGCTTGAAAGGAAGTAGCACAGCACATTTGGAGGCCTGGCAGATAAAATGGTTACTCTGGAAAACTGAAATGGTGTTTGAATCTTAATATAACCGTCGGGGAAGGTATTTTGCTACAAATGAGTTTTACTTGGAAGATTAATACTGGAATTTGTGTATTTGGGATTGTGTGCTTTTCAAATTTGTGTGCTTGGTTTGAGGTCTGGAGGCCAAATACTTTGGTCTCACCTAAAAGAAAGAAAAGTAAAGCACCGGTAATGGTGGTAAAGTCAGAAGACAGGCTCCGTCTATATGTGAGCAGCCATCTGTGTCTGAAATGGCAGCTGTAGGTATCAATAAAGGAGCGACGACGACGTTAGCAAGAGCGAAAGCTAACACTAGCATCAGCTGGCACGCTAATGTTTACATGTTGAACTCACCATTCAGCCTTATGACAAACTGCCGACGTTTCTTATCGTGTTCCACCAGGATTGGAGAGTTGTTTGCATCAAAGGCATTAGTCTGTGCCGCCTGTGCCATAGTAGCGCCGTTAAAAAGTCACAACAATGACTGCTACGCTACCCTACGGGATTGCTAACCAGAAATGGCTACAAAAGCAAAACACTTCATCCAACGAAATCAGCTGTGAGGTCACGTGACGCGCGGCCAATCGCAGGCGTCGTCTTTAGAGAGGCGAAAACAGAGCGGCTTTGTAAGATAACTCCCCTCGAGATCATAAACTCTAAACGCCTGCTGAGAAACGATAAAACCAACCGTCTGACTCCGAACGCAAACGTTTCACATGCTGCATTCACGTGACGTGGGATCATAAACAATTATGTCCGTTAAAGACCTTTTCTGCTCATTTTGTATTTTTTTTACAATCCCTGTGAATTATTATATCTTTGCTACTTTTTTT